AGAAGTTTTCGGGGTTTTCATTTAAGCCGAATGATCTGGTTACTTTACTTATCGCTGTTTGGTCTCTTGATAGTTTGGTTAGATTGACGTCTCCGTGTTTAGTTAGTGCTTTTTAGATAGAAAATTATAGTTAGAGTTTTAGTCCAGGATAAGACACCGTGTAATCATGATCCTTTTTGGAATAAAAGACAAGTCTAGATCGTAATTCTCGATAAAGTAATCACGATCCGCGAGCAACAGTAAGCAACAACTTGTAATACACTCAGGACCTACGGATTTGCATGCATATATATCGCATATATTTCATTTACTCTAGGATATGCAGTTTTTTCTTTTTTTTTGGTTAAGAGTAAGTGTGTAACGGACGTGAGTAAACGCTTTTCAATTTAACCGCGGTGTACTACACTATGTTCGCACAATACTTTGGTAATTTCTTCAAGTATAGATTCCAGTTCTCCGCTTTGATATAAGAACGCTCCAAGGAATAGCATAAAAAAGAAAGAGAGAAAGATTCTTTCTTTGACGGTCTATCGCATATGCGTGAATCAACCCAGGAATCGAGCTTCAATCCTACCTTGAAAAGAAACATTTACAGCAAAAATGATTTTCCTTTTAACTTCTGTATGATACATCCTTGCTATATCAATCCGGAAAGTACTGAAACTGCAGTGAATTTTATCTCAGTCCTACATGTACGTAGAATATAAATTTCCCTTTGGTCGGAGGGCACATTTATGCAAGTGTGTTTTCTTATATTTCCTAACGATAATTTATTACACATTCTAGTAATGAGCAATTATTTGTAATTCGACCAAATAGATAAAGAGGTCATGTGCAAGAGTGTTCACCCCAAGTTTCCAGATCGATTTAAGATAGCGCATACAGTTACGATAATTTCTACCCTTGTAATAGGAACCCAGCTGCTGGCGATACATCTGGAGGTGAGCACATTCGAATAATCCCACGGAGAAGCTCTTTCGGTTCAAAAATTATCGCCGATCTTGTAGATCGAATCATTGACAAGTTCAAAAGAAATATTGATACTAAACTTGGTGCCTTTAAGAGCTGTGTTCATTTCCAAAGTATCATTTGAGGATAAGGATATCGTATCCTTTCCGGATACCCGTGGACATCGCCTTATTTTTCCCTAAGGATTTATGATTGCTTGACCCGTAATTGATTTAAGTGAACTTTATTACTTTGCGTCTTCATAGACAACCAAGTTCTGTAGAATCCTATCGTCTTTGTAGTAGAAATGGAAATATTTTACCGACTTTTGCTTCGGGTGACAAATTGTATCAAAGTGTTGTAGTTAAGATGGGGGTGGGGAGACGATGTTAACTTGGGGCATCAGGTGTTTCTGATTATTTATTTGCACATGAGAGTTCCCCATGTCAATGTCAATGTCAAGGACAATGACAATGACAATGATAATGACAATGTAAATGAGCTGACAATTTCAATGACAATGTAAGTGTAAAAGATAAAGATCAAATAATGCATGACCTCAGGAAGCAGCTCACTGAAGAGATGAAAATGTTTGAAGGTAATGTTTTGACTGTTTGTGATGAAGGGTGCACCGTTGAATTTCAGCCAGGAGCAGGCATATCTTGGCAGAGCTGGCCTGCCAATGAACTTAACCAGGCAGCTACATATTCCTCTCCAAATGCAAATGTTCATAAAGGAAACATGAACACTAGGGGGGTAGCTTTGGAATGGGTAAAGATGCCACCCGGAAACCTTACACTAAGGAGATGAGAACCTCTAATACAGACAAGGTAAACAATATTCCTGCCTCTCTTCCCCCAAACCTTTCAGAAAAAACATTGAAATTCCAGAAAGTTACAGTTCACAGCTAAAAATGGCATCCGACAGTTTGGTCTTCCCAGGTAGGATTGGGCATTTTCCAGACAGGTTAAGGCTAGAACCCATGCATTGTAAGATTACTGCTTGGCAACAATATATTGATCTCCTGTACTTAGTGGCAGTGGGAAGAGGAACGTTTGGTCCTTTCTTTTTCTGCTCTGGGAGCATCTATAAGGAATAGAGACTCTTTTGAGGGCTTCTGATACAGACAGTGTTGGGGAGCGTGCTAGGAAGCAGGGGATGTTACAGAAATCAGAGGTGGACCTAAAGCAAAACTTGAAGAAGAACTTTTCCTCATGTAAGGCATACATCAGGTGGGGAGGGGGGGAGGGAATGTGGACTGGGATACTTAAAATAACATTTAAGTGATGAAGCTAGAACAGGTATAACAAGTTACCAGTTAGGCTTATTGGCAATCAAGCCATTGCATTGGCTTGATATTACCGTTGTTTAGTTGACACTTAAGAAAGTGAATATGAAACAGGGGCATAAACAATCCAACGACTGGCTCTTAGCAAGATAGGTGAGTATCTGATGAATGCAGGGGGACGTTTTAATAGAATAGAGACCAATTATACCCAGGTTGCAGAACCGCAAGAAATGTGTAGTATGTATTTTAACTTGAGGCCTTTGCTTTTTTCATCCAGTTGAACAGAAGTTGCGTAAGCACACAGGAGACTCTTTTAGAGATGATGCAATGCAAAAAGTTGCATAAGCACGTGTAGGCTAGATCACCAGGTTGTAACAGGAGACGCGTGGGAGATGATGAAATTTAATTTCTGCTCTCACACACAAAAACTAAAGAGACATTGTGAAAACAAGGAGGAAAATAAAACAGGATTTGTTAAGGACAATTTTCGAGCACGTGAGTTAGAGTGTACCCCACAAGTTTGGTACATTTGTGTTAATGTCACAACATGGACGGTTGGATATGCCATTCCCTATCATTGCTGTTTACAAGGTCTAGGGTGGGTTATGGCATTGTCTCTTTGCAGGCCAAAGAGGCCAAACATTCTGGAGTGAGGGAAGATTTGACCTTAACTAACCGGTCAAATGTAAGCACCATCACTGGTAAATGATGGCAAGTAATGCGAAGTAATTATGTTCGCTCATTTTACCTCCCAGAACTTCAACTAATGCCCTGTTCTTATACCTCACACTACCAATGACGTTCTCACCACACTGTTGCCAACCAAATGTTTGCAATTGTGGTGGAAATAAAGAAAATGATTTGCTCAGTTGTCAAGTTTGTTTGTCTAGTATTGACCTGGTAACTTGTGTAAGCAGCAGAGGCGCGACAGAATCAGTGTTGTGTGCACTAAAACCCATTGTCTGTAAACAGTGCAATACTCGCTTTGCTGATAACTTATTTATTACAGTTTCTCCAAATCTAAAGTAATTAAATTACTAAATAGATGCATAAATAAATACATAGACATAAACATACACAGAATAAATGAATAATGATGATGGAGAAGCAGCATCCAAAAGCGTCCTAGACACCATACGAGGAATGCTCCCCAGTAAGAAATAACTTATCACTGTGGTCTCATCTAAAGTTCTGCAATGCCATTGAGGTAAGAAGTGTAGCTAACAATCCAACTTTGATGACAGCACCTGCTTTAAAGGAAGCTTTACATAGCAGAGGATTAAGCACTGCTGGTATTAATGAAGTTCTAAGCGCCTTCCAGGTGCATTGGCTTGGGAAGGGTAGTTGAATTATTTTTTAATCAACAGTTTAAATCTCCCAAAATATTGGATGTAAAGTGAATTTCTTTGGTCAAGTTGGTGCACAATAAGGCACACTTACTATGAGAATGATAACTAAGCTCTCAACAAATTCTGTGTACCAGTAATGTGAGTAATATTCCTACTTAGTAAGAAAAATATTTTAAAATTCTTGCAAAACTGTTTAAATTAGCTGTTTGCTAGACAGGTTAAACCTGTCGGAATGCAAAAGTACTGTAAGTTGTCACTAATATCACTTGGTATGCACTGATATATTACATAGAAAACTTTATAAACTAGTTTTTTTTAACTGACTTCCATTTTAGAGGCAGGGTTTCTGCCCTAATGTATTTATGGAATTTTGTACATAAGGGTTTGACCACTAAGCCCTTTACATGCTAACAATAGTATGAATATTCTCTATACTGTTCTCAATACATTTTTCAAGGTGCTGACAAGGAGAATTTGTTTAACAATCAAGAGTTTAGTTAGTAATTATCTCCTTCCTTTTTGTGACTTTGTGTTTCATTTGGGGTTAATATTGTAAGAAGAAATCAGATGCTGGTCACTGTCAGGGGTCAAAGGATTACTAACTAGTGACTCAGCATTTTGCTTGTTATGTTGACACAATGCAATTTTGTTTTAGTAATGTATTTGTCTTAAATAAAACCTACAAAAGACTGCAGCTTGATAGTTTTAAGAGCAGGTTGAAGTATACATAGATAAATGATATTTGTATTTAAAAGGAGTAATTCTCTATACTGATAGGATAATTGCATAGATGAATCAGACATCATTGTTAGTCAAATAATTAACAAGCTTTTAGCTGTTATGTTTAGATAAAACCATACTTTTATTTATTTACTCCAGTGTATTTCTTTCTACAGGATATAAAGATTAAATTTTAGAATATTTGCTTGTATTAATAACCATACATCTTTCAGAACTTTGTTTTAAATTACATTCAGGGTTGTCATTCTTTTGGTATATGAAAGTTTCTTGACAAGGTCTTACCAAACATTAGCAAGTCTTGCTAGTACCTAATTAATTGTCAGGCTAGATCGTATTCAAATTCAATAGCTTTTGTAATTTTGAGTCTTTTCCAAATCCTTCTTGATCATAACGCAGCACGTAAAATGAGGTTTACCCTTAGTCATACCCTTAATGTTTTACTGAATAAATAATTTGAAACGCCGTAGCTTGCGTTACAACAATAATTGACTCGCCGCTGTAACTTTAAAGCACGCGACCATCCTCTGGAAGTTTCTCGAGGTGCCGCTTCTTGAGAAAATTCTCTCCCTTAAATCTAGCCGGAGATCAAATTTCTCTGCTGTGTCAAGCGTTTGGAAACTGAGCGTGATTTTCTCACCATTCTTGGTCTCTCATCCCATAGTTGGGTTTATTTTCTGCAAAAACGAACTCTCCTTTTGCATTGTTTCTCCGCAGAAAACTTAATCATCGCATTTGAAAACCGGTCTCCTCTTTCCGTTTCATCCTCCATGCCTAAATGCCTCAAAAATAGTTTGTTTAATGTGTTCGCGCTGTCATTATTTGCCGCCACTTTTGAATAGGCCTTTACTTTTCGTGCCAACTGCCGCTGACGATTTCTCCGTCAGCGCGCATCAGAGATGCGGGAGGAAAACCCTTGGCAACTGACCATCATTTGCTCGGGTGCTAGGAATTCATCTACAATGACTGATCTGCGGCTCCATATTCATGATTTCCATGCCCCATATTCTGAGCCACCTCTGTCGAATCTGCTATGATTCCAGTGTGTTCTCCTATTTTCAATTTGTCTTCTACGAAGGCCTTCTGCTTAGCACTAAAATGGGAAGCCTTTTTCGAAGATCATAATGCCCAGCTCTACGGTAACTCCTGAATTCTTCACTCTGCAATCTCAGAAGTGGCAATATAGGTCTGTGCACTAGATCCTTCCTGATGTTTTCAAAGGCATCTTTGCCTTGTCGAGAAGCGAGTGCCTTTCCTCTGTAAAAATGCACTTGCCGTACTGTATGCGCCGCAACACTTTGCAGTGGTGCTGAGAAGTACTCACGCATCCTTCAACTTAAAAAGAATAAAATATCGGCGTGTTTGTTGGCAATGGATGCAACTTCTCTTCTTAAACGATGTCTTCTGTATTTTCTTGAGGAGGAGACTGCTTTTGGTCAAACAAATAGATGTCTTAGAATTCTCCAAAAGAAAAGTAACCGTCGGGAAAGACTGAATCCCTCTCTGAAGCCATCAGTTTGAACAAAAACAAAAAAAGAGAGGATAAAAGGATGGCCATAAAAAATGACTATAAATAACGCGCGTGAAAAATTAACAATTGCTAAAAGAGAGCCAGAATTATAAGGAAACAATGCTAGTGTTTGTGGTAACTGACGTGTGCTCTGCAATTGTGGCCCAGGACATTGGGGTCCGCATGTCTTGTAATCTAAGAGAAGCAGAAGGCAGTTCACGACAGCATTTCGTGACGCGAATGCGCAATCTATGTTTGGTGCTAATGCATGGTAGGTACAAATTCATTAACAATACTCCAATTAAAGTGTAAATATGGCAATCATGTTAATTTTTATGGTTCGTTACCAGTTTCAAATTGTATCCGTATCGTACAGGACGGTTTTGCATTTTGGCTTGTTTTGTTTGTAAAATAGCCGCTAACATTTTGAATATCAGGTAACCTGAGCAACAAAAACGACGAAAGTTGAACTAAATTAGCTTTCTATCCAGTGTAGAAACGATTTTTCGCCCTAAAACGGCCTGGTGTCTTTTCAACGTGCGCATTGTTGATTTTTCACGTCGAATTGCGTGACCAGGAATGGTGTATTTTGACCTCTGTGTCAGTTTTATTTGTGGTCCTAAAATTTCGTAGTCTTGAGTAGCCCAAAAATTCTATTGGATTTTTGTCAATAAGAAGCCTTCTTCTTCGCTGGATTAACTTAGTTTAATCCCATGCCATGTACCAAGGTGCGATTTGACCCTCTCAATTTTGCCATTTCGTTGTCCCCCTAAATGAGTGGAATAATGAAAAAAACAAAAATTGCCCAAAAACTTATTTCGCGATAGATTTGAACAAATAACGCTTCAGAGTGTTTGTAAGTACGTTTTCTTTCCATTGAGAAAATCGTTGGTCACATTTATTGTTTGGTTTATTCTCAAGCGACGTTCAGATTATTGGTTATCTAGACCTAGTAAAACTGACATGAGAGCCACCAAATCGATTTTACCGCCGTTCGCGTAAAATCAAAATGCAATGGAACTTAAAGTAGTTTGTCTAAAAATGATTGATCTAAACGTATATTCTGCCAAAGGTAGAGGATTTTCAATTTTTTTATATTGCACACCTCCAGGTGCTATTTAGGGAGCGCTGCTCTTAAGTAATTAAGTTTAATTTGATCTACGAAACAATTCGCTCACCATGTAAAAGTTTGTTTAGAATGATGCTATTTTATTACTTTCTTTGTATTTAGAACCGACGTTATCACCTCAAATTTCTAAAAAAAAGGAGCTTCTTCCTGTTCAATGTTGTACACTTTTCTCATCCACAAAATATTTCTATTAGATTTTAAAAACAATTTCAACGAAAAGACTTTAAAAAAGAACAAAATGGAAACAACACACCAGACCCCTATTGCACCCTAGCTCTCGCGCATCCCTTTATCCAGTTTAACAGAAATATAAACAACAGTAAATGATAAGATTCAAGCACGGTTATAAGGAACCGGATGTTCTCTATAAAGGCCTTAGAGAATCCGTGAGGGCTCGTGAGTTTTCTAACACCGTCCTGGATTTTGTGATAATGTGCAGAGAAAAGAGCTGAGGTGTTCACCACTGGTATTTTGTTAGTTAATTGAGATAAAGAAACGTGGTCCAGGGACACTAGTATATGGGGTCTGGATTTAGGAACAACTAGTACACGGAATTGGTACCTCCTCCAAACTCTTGAACATTTTTTTCAGATCAAAAGAAATTTCTAAATTTCGCGTAGACCGTGGCAATGTTATTGCACTTTAAATTTAAATGACTGGCTCATTTAAAAGGAATTGTCAATATAGGTGTCACCAAGCTGTTTTTTGATTTTTCTTTTTTTTTTTGTTTCTTTTTTTGTTTGTTTTTTCCATTCGTTCGTTCGTGCAACGAAGAATAATCAGAACACTGAAACACAGCCTTAAACACTGAACTACATAGAACATTCTTGACTTGATAACGAGACTATTTAAGGAAGAGGGGAAGGGTCTAACAAATTCCCTTACAAATTTTTCTTTGATAATCCATTTTTGCGAACGAATACAATGCATGTTTTAGAGGAAGTTTCTTAGTCTATATTTTAGTGCGGCTTTATTGGGACATAAGCAATGATATACATGAAATATGCAATATAACCCACGCATTCAAATGTCTGTTTTGAAGGTGGGATTTGACTTGTTCCTCTTACACCAATATTAAGAAAGACTCCAAACTTACAGCCTTCTG